TGGTATTTTTACTATGTATTGGTATTTTTAACTAATGTTGTCCATACACTAAAAAGATTTCACTCGTTCATCCCCAGGAGCTAAATGAAAATGATCTCTCGATTCCCTACATCTCTTCCCGAGTAATGTATTGTATTCAGACAGCCTGCACTGGCTAACAGAAGGCCGAATACCTGAACAGTGGTTGCACCTGATATAGATGCAGCCGTTATTCCAATGACAATTTTTTGCCATGCTTTTGCAATTTTCACATCAAAGCATGTTGGGCAGTAAGGTGCCAACAAGGCCGAAATGCATGGCCAGCTTTGGCTAAAGGCCAACCTCATTTTTTGTAGAGTATAAACTATAAACTACATTTTTGTTTATATATTAGTGGATTACACTAAGAGCAGCACCAGTACCATTTATAATTCAGTATTTTTTGTGTTTTTTTTTTTATTTTTTTTATTAAATACCATAGCGCAGGTTTGTATGTTTTGTTTTGAACTTTTGTAGAATATCCATCAGGTTTTTATTGCAGACTGTGTCTCCACTGGGTAGAATTTACCTCTTCAAGGTGGACATAGAGAAAACCAAAAAAACATTCTTAGTAGAATGGAGAAAGGTTGTAACTTGTTCTTATTGCGGTCAGTGCCTTTCTGCCCCACTGACAACACACCTCTATGTTTTGTATTATTATTCAGGATTTATATAGGGCAGCGAATGGATACATGATTTTTGTCTTTGAAGGTGGGCACTGGGGCCAGAGACTTCCATCCAGAGAGGTGGGGGAGACTGCCTGTACCTCTCCCCTGTCATCTGATAAGATTTGGCTGTCCCTAGTATCTTCACTATTTCCCGAGGCAGCCGGAGTTGGTGGGTTGGGTTGAGGGTGTGGTTGCCTCCTCCATTCTTCCCACAGATTCCTTCACTCCTGATCTCCCAGCTCAAGAGGGTAATAGAGAAGTGGACAAAGCAGCCCAGCCCCATGGAGTCTTCAACTCCAGCCATGCTGAAAGAGACTAAGCACACTGTCACCACATACAGTCCTGGCCTGCCACTATACTTTCCTAACCTGCCACTGTACTGCCCCAGCCTGTCACTGTACTGCCCCAATCTTCCACTACACTGCCCCAGACTGCCACTATATTGCCCCAGCCTGTCACTGTACTGCCCCAGCCTGTCACTGTACTGCCCCAGCCTGTCACTGTACTGCCCCAGCCTGTCACTGTACTGCCCCAATCTTCTACTACACTGCCCCAGACTGCCACTATATTGCCCCAGCCTGTCACTGTGCTGCCCCAGCCTGCCCACTGTACTGCCCAGGCTGCCACTATACTGCCCCAGGCTGCCATTGTACTGCCCCAGCAGCCTGCCACTGTACTACCCCCCAGCTGTCACTGTACTGCCCCAGCCTACCACTGTATCTTCCCCAGTACTTCTTGTACCCAGCTGCACTATACTGCTCCAGGCTGCCACTGTACTGCCACAGCCTGCCACTGTACTGCCCCAGACTGCCACTATACTGCCCCAGCCTGCCACTGTACTGCCCCAGCCTGTCACTGTACTGCCCCACTGTACTGCCCCAGACCTGCCACTATACTGCCCCAGCCTGTCACTGTACTGCCCCAGCCTGTCACTGTACTGCCCCAATCTTCTACTACTGCCCCAGACTGCCACTATATTGCCCCAGCCTGTCACTGTGCTGCCCCAGCCTGCCACTGTACTGCCCAGGCTGCCACTATACTGCCCCAGGCTGCCATTGTACTGCCCCAGCCTGCCACTGTACTACCCCAGCCTGTCACTGTACTGCCCCAGCCTACCACTGTACTTCCCCAGGCTGCCACTATACTGCTCCAGGCTGCCACTGTACTGCCACAGCCTGCCACTGTACTGCCCCAGACTGCCACTATACTGCCCCAGCCTGCCACTGTACTGCCCCAGCCTGTCACTGTACTGCCCCAGACTGCCACTATACTGCCCCAGCCTGTCACTGTACTGCCCCCAGCCTGTCACTGTACTGCCCCAGGCTGCCACTATATTGCCCCAGGCTGCCACTGTACTGCCCCTGCCTGTCACTGTACTGCCCCAGCCTGCCACTGTACTGCTCCAGGCTGCCACTATACTGCCCCAGCCTGCCACTGTACTGCCCCAGCCTGCCACTGCACTGCCCCAGACTGCCACTATACTGCCCCAGCCTGCCACTGTACTGCCCCAGCCTGTCACTGTACTGCCCCAGCCTGCCACTGTACTGCTCCAGGCTGCCACTGCCCAGCTGCCACTGTTCTTCCCTAGCCTGTCACTGTACTGCCCCAGCCTGCCACTATACTTCCCTAGCCTGTCACTGTACTGCCCCAGCCTGCCACCATACTGCCTCAGCCTGCCACTGTACTGCCCCAGGCTGCCACTATACTGCCCCAGCCTGCCACTGTACTGCCCCAGCCTGCCACTATATTGCCCCAGCCTGGCACTCTACTTCCCTAGCCTGTCACTGTACTTCTACCCTAGCCTGCAACTGTACTGCCCCAGCCTGCCAATTTACTGCCCTAGCCTTCCTATACACTATGCTGCCCATCGTGCCACTATACTTCCACTGTTCTGTCCCAGCCTGCTACTGTATTGCCAATGTACTGCCCCAGCCTGCCACTATACTGCCCTAGCCTGACACTATACTGCCCTAGCCTGACACTATACAGCCACTATACTGCCCCAGCCTGCCACTATACAGCTCTAACCTGCAACTATACTGCCCTATCCTGCCACTATACTGCTGTAACATGCCACTATACTGCCCTTATACCAACCCAGACTTCCACTATACTAACCCAGCCTACTGCTATAACTGCCACTATACCTGCCACTATACTGCTCCAACCTGCCACTATACTGCTCTAACCTGCCTGCCACTATACTAGCCTGCTACTATAATGCTCTAACCTGCCACTATACTGCTCTAGCCAACCACTATACTGCTCTAGCCAGCCACTATACTGCTCCAACCTGCCACTATACTGCTGTAGCCTGCCACTATAATGCTCTAACCTGCCACTATACTGCTCTAGCCAACCACTATACTGCCCTAACGTGCCACTATACTGCCCTAACGTGCCACTATACTGCTATAAGCTGCCACTTTACAGCCACTCTACTGCCCTAGCCTGCCACTATAGTGCCCTAACCCGCCACTATACTGCCCTAACGTGCCACTATACTGCTCCAACCTGCCACTATACTGCTCTAGCCAGCCACTATACTGCCCTAACGTGCCACTATACTGCCCTAACGTGCCACTATACTGCTATAAGCTGCCACTTTACAGCCACTCTAATGCCCTAACCTGCCACTGTACTGCCCTAACCTGCCACTGTACTGCCCCAGCCTGCCACTATACTGCCCTAATCTGCCACTATACTGTCCAAGCCTGACACTATACTGCTCTAACCTGCCACTAAGCTGCATTAACATAACCACAGCTCTCTTACATATGTTTGATTAACGTATGGCCTTTGGTTAATGATATGCTGCTTTCAAAGCCATTCCTGTTTTAAATGAATGTCCCATTCCTAATTAAAGTATATTCTCCATCTATGGCATGGCAGAAAAGGTAACCCTGGAAATGTTTTTAAAATGTTGGCAACTATGCTGAACCCCCTTTCCGTTCTCTGCACTGCACACAGCCTTGGCAAAGGCAGCAGAGCTTCTGCTCCCCACACAGCACATATCTGAGATCAGATTCCCTTACACACAACCACAATCTGCACAATTCTGAAATGTGAAATTCATTGGTCAGAATGGTAGCGCAGCTGCAGTAGCCAGCTACACACTGTGCAGATCATGGCTGTGTGTAAGGGAATCCAATCTCAGCTATGTGTAGTGTGCGGCAAGGAGATTTGCTGCCTGTGGTCAGGCTGTGTGCAGTGCAGGGATGAAAGAAGGAGCTCTGCTGAGTGCCCTGCCAGCAGTGACCCCTGTTCTCTGCTGAGTGTTCCCAGCAGTGAACCCTGTCCTCTACCCTGACAGCAGTGACTCCTGCCCTTTGCCTTGCCAGCAATGACTCCTATCTTCTTCCATGCCAGCAGAGACCCCTGTCCTCTTCCCTACTGACCCCTGTTCTTTGCCTTGCAGACCCCTGTACACTGCCCTACAAGTGAACTGCCTCTGTTCACTGCCTTACAAACTGATGCCCCTATCCTCTGTCCTGCTGACCCCATGTACACTACCCTGTTGACCTCCCATCCTCTGCCCCCCTGACATGTTTTACTGCACCTCCACATTAGACAGGCTAAGCTCAGCCCTGGGCCAGACACTGATAGAAGTCACAAGACTGCTATATACTGCTGATGAGAATATTAATTTAGCAATTAAAAATAATTGCATTTCCATGTTGTGTACTGTAAGCAAAGCGAGCGCCCGGACTCACATAAAGCAGCTGGCATAAAAGGATGAACCCCCTTTATCCTCAAAAGCATGAAAAAACGTGAAATGCAGCACTGTACAATATTACAAAACCCAAATGCTAGTAAATAAAGTGACAATAGTGACAAAGTCAAAGTGAAGGCGCTCAAATTAGTGCTAAAGGGAATGATATTGCATGAGTATCCCGCAGAATATCAGCAAGTAAGTGATATTTGAAAATAAATATAAAGTGACAATAGTGAACAGTACAATATAAAATAAATGGTTTAGATCATTCGGATGAATATCAAATAAACATCCAAGGAATCTCTGTGACAAATGGGTGAAAGTGACTCCGTGCTAGATAATGCTTTATAAATGCAGTCACCAGAAGAAAAATATTAAGTGCGCATAGTAATATTTTCAGCTCCTCCACTGGAAGGGAAAACTTCCAATAGGAAAAACATGGTATGGAGACAAGAAGAACACCACTGGCTTCTCACAGCATTACAGGGATGACTCTGGCACCACCACTGGCCTCTCATTTCTCTGATAGAAGTGGAGTCCTCTGCTGTGCCGACAAGTTACAGAGCTTACATGTTCACGTCACAAGTTTTTCTTGTCCCAGGGGCGGACTGACCATTTGGAAACTCGGGAACTGCCCGAGGGCCCGGGGTCAGTAGGGGGCCCCATGAGATGCCCCTGGTACCTTTTTCATAGGTTTTTTTGAGTTTGGGCAAGGACATAGGGGCCCCATGATCCCCTATTGCCCGGGGGCCCCATGAGTTGTCAGTCTGCCCCTGTCTTGTCCCCTCCTATGTAGTTGATAGCAGAACGCAGTAGTTGGATTCCATAGCTGCTATTGGACTGAATAGTAGCTGCAGAATCAACCAACGTCCATCCACTGTCAATCAAAAGGTAGGCAGACCTGATGTGGAATTAGTCTGCAAGCGCTGCTACTCTTGTGATTGACAATGGATGGCAGTAGGTAGATTCCATAGCCACTACTGGACTGAAAAGCAGCTATGGCTCACTGTACCATATTCTGCCATAAGAGTCATAAGAGTGATTAGACTGAGGACTACTGCACTACACCGCCTCCATTAAGCCAATGTTTGCTAGGATGCTGGCGTCTGCCAGTGTCCTAGCAACCCATGAGCCTCTCTGTATGCCAGCTCAGAGTTGATCTTAATTGCCGCCAGTTTTCTAATCTGCAAACTGGCAGTATTTCTTTTTGAATCTGTCACAGCGATAGCAACATGTGACAGTAATAGGAAGCACCGGAAATTGTCATGTGTAGGAACTGCAAACGAACAATATCCTGATGGTTTTCCAGAATTAGGAACTCAAAAGGGGTACTACAGCCAGAAAGATATTGTAAATGCTTTATAGAATTCCCCCATTGTGTCTTCAGCATCCCCTAAACTCTCCTCTTACTTTCCATGGTCGGTGTCTCTAATTATATTTTTAAATTATATTAAGTACTCTAGCTGCTGCCCTTACAAATCAGGTACATACCAGTCCATGGATTCCAGCACTGTCTTCTTGCAGCCATTTTTTGGATAGCTGCAGGTCCCTGGCACCACCATCTTGGGTTTAGGAGCTGGTTATGATTCAGCAGGGAGTCACAGCCGGCTCACAAATCAAAGATGACGCTGCCAGGGACCCACAGATAGTGCAAAGCTAGCGCAACACAGAAAGACTGGTCCTGCAGCCTGCTGGGATGTGTGTTTTTTTTTCGCCAGGAGGCTGTGTGAGGGGAGAGGCCTGGTGAGCAACATTATCCTCACCTAGTTTAGGACTGAGGAAGAGGGATCGGGTAACGACAAAAAAATGGTACTCACTTCCCCAGCCTGCAAAAACCTATAGCTCAGGTACAGGCTGAGGAAAGAAAGAGAATGAGCGGTACGTCACTTTTTGAGTGAAGTTTAAGGAGAATTCATCTCACTTCCTGTTGTGACTCCAAGACAGGATGTGAAGGGAATCCCTCAAGCAGCACACAGATAGCAAAAAAAAAAGAACTTGATGGTTTTTTTGTCTACATCTTCAAAGCCAACTTCTTGGCACATCTGCCATGACATATCATGAATGTCCCCAATTTCCATAATTCCTGTACCTTCACCCTTTTTTTCCATGGGCACAAACAAGTGTCTAACTGCAATATATGTGAGGAATAAGAACATGATCCAGGATTCATGCAATAAGCAACATTTCAGCAATCGCAGTCCATCTACCCAGTTCTGTAAGAGATGTTTTGATCATGAGCACACCGTATACCTCAGAATCTGCAGTCTGAGTAAGGGTCCATGTACACTGCAGCTGATAAACTGACGTTCAGGAGCTTTTCTGCTTTTTTCAGCAGCCCCTGAACTCACCCTAATGTTTTCCTATGTGTCCATGTACACATAGGCATTTAAAGGCAGTTGAGTTTACAGTCATTTTTTTGAATGCACCAAACTTGCATTCAGGAGTAGATTTTATCAGCTTTTCAAACGCCAAACGCTTGTAAACGCAGCTAACCGCGTTTATAAGCGTTTGCGTTTAGAAGCGCTTTTTAACTGTTCCACATCCAAATGCTGTCCAGAGCCTTTTTTCTTCATCAGAAATGCATGCATAGTGTTTTCCATGTATTCAAATGGACCTAGCACACCAGCGCAGTCAGTTCCAGGTTTTTCATGAAGGACAGAATGGTAGAACGTGCTGCATTATGCTCATGATGGTATCCATAGTGAATACAACCAGAAAAGACAGGTCATCTCAACACATACTGCTCTCTCTGCTTCTGCTCTCTCTATTTCTCTCAAAATGTCTGACATAGTTAACTTTTTAATGTTTTTCAGTGCATTCTGGGCATTTTGGAAGGTCTCCTGAGGTTATCTTTAAAAAACGCTTCTAAATGCAAACACTCATAAACGCGGTATGCAAACGCGGCTAAACAGACGTTTTTAACCTACATTTTCCAGCAGTCAGTTCCATCATTCAGGAGTGTTTTCCAAACGTCCCGTGTACATGGAACCTAAAGATCATCCAAAGTGAAAAGCAAATCCTGGGACTCAACTGTGTTTAGCCCTTTACTCACAAGTCCTAGAAGCATGACGTTTCAGATCTACAGCTGGCATCAGGTGTTGTAACTGAATGAGGATGCTTCTACATTAATTTACATCCCACACCCAAGAAAGGGGTATACACAGGTTTAACACGTATCTAAACCCCAAAACAAACAAAAAAAATAATATAGTGCACCTTACCAGTGCTTAGATGCAGTGCCTGCATTTTTTTCTTTTTTTGGGCTAAGGTTATTTTCAACGAATATAGAAAATACTTTTGATCCTGCCAGAAATGCAGTATCCTCATCACTTCCTGAGCTGAAAAAAAAAAACAAAAACACTTTTATCTTTTTCTTGTGTAGGCTACAAATCCCATCGGCAGTCATGTAATGAAAGGTTTGAAGTTTAGTCTGTGTGACAACCATGGCTGCCCTAATAGATACCAGTGAGTGTAGCCATACAAGAACACAAAGTGTGGTATTCATGATTTCAGGCACTTTGGAGTACAATGGCCGCCTAATCACTTTCAATGGGCTCTTTTGATGCAACACACGTTAACACACTGCATATACAGTGAGGAACAGAAGTATTTGAACATCCTGCGATTCTGCAAGTTCTCCCACTTAGAAATCATTGAGGGGTCTGAAATTCACATTGTATGTGCATTCCCACTCTGAGAGACAGAACTGAAAAAAAAATATTCAGGAAATCATATTGTATGATTTTTAAAGAATTTATTTGTCTTGCACTGTTGAACATAAGTATTTGAACACCTAAGAAACAGCAAGAATTCTGGCTCTCAAAGACCTGTTACTGTGCCTTTAAAAAGTCCACCTCTACTCCACTCAATCTAACTTAGTAGCACCTGTCTGAGCTCTTTAAAGACACCTGTCTACCCCACAGTCAGTCAGACGCCAACTACTACTACCATGGGCAAGACCAAAGAGCTGTCAAAAGACACCAGAGACAAAATTGTGGACCTCCACAAGGCTGGAAAGGGCTATGGGACAATTGCCAAGCAGCTTGGTGAAAATAGATCAACTGTTGGAGCAATTGTTAGAAAATGAAAGAGGCTAAAGACGACTGTCAGTCTCCCTCGGACTGGGGCTCCATGCAAGATCTCACCTCGTGGGGTATCACTGATAAGAAAGGTGAGGAATCAGCCCAGAACTACAAGGGAGGAGCTGGTCAATGACATGAAGAGAGCTGGGACCACAGTTTCAAAGGTCACTGTCGGTAGAACACTACGCCGTCATGGTTTCAAATCATGCATTGCACGGAAGGTTCCCCTGCTCAAGTTATCACATGTCCAGGCCCGTCTGAAGTTTGCCAATGACCATCTGGATGATCCAGAGGAGGCATGGGAGAAAGTCATGTGGTCAGATGAGACCAAAGTAGGACTTTTTGGTCTAAACTTCACTCGTTGTGTTTGGAGGAAAAAGAAGGATGAGTTGCATCCCAAGAACACCATCCCTACTGTGAAGCATGGGGGTGGTAACATCATGCTTTGGGGGTGCTTTTCTGTGAAGGGGACAGGACGACTGCACTGTATTAAGGAGAGGATGAATGGGGCCATTTATTGTGAGATTTTGAGCAACAACCTCCTTCCCTCAGTCAGAGTATTGAAGATGGGTCGTGGCTGGGTCTTCCAACATGACAACGACCCGAAGCACACAGCCAGGATAACCAAGAAGTGGCTCCGTAAGAAGCATATCAAGGTTCTGGAGTGGCCTAGCCAGTCTCCAGACCTAAATCCAATAGAACATCTTTGGAGGGAGCTGAAACTCCGTGTTGCTCAGCGACAGCCCCGAAACCTGACAGATCTAGAGGAGATCTGTGTGGAGGAGTGGGCCAAAAATCCCTGTTGCAGTGTGTGCAAACCTGGTCAAGAACTACAGGAAACATTTGACCTCTGTAATTGCAAACAAAGGCTTCTGTACCAAATATTAACACTGATTTTCTCAGGTGTTCAAATACTTATGTTCAGCAGTGCAAGACAAATAAAATTCTTTAAAAATCATACAATGTGATTTCCTGAATTTTTTTTTAAATTCTGTCTCTCAGAGTGGGAATGCACCTACAATGTGAATTTCAGACCCCTCCATGATTTCTAAGTGGGAGAACTTGCAAAATCACAGGGTGTTCAAATACTTCTGTTCCTCACTGTATGTAAATGGAGCCTAAAGGCAATAAGCTAAAATAGAATGGCAGGTAGACACATGCATTTCGCTTCATAGTGAAATGATTTTCAGAGATTTGGATGTATTCGAATCTCTGAATGGACATAGTAATGAATGTAAATGAATCCCCAAAAAGTTATAACGAAATTAACAAATGCGGTTGTTTCATTTGGATGACATTACATAATGCGATAGTAGTCCAGGCCCATGGGGATATGAATTTGTTCAATAATTTGGATTTGAGTAAAGTGATTTAAATTGAATTTGTAATTGTCATAGTCAGTCAGCTCAATTCCACAGTCTAATGCAATCCTTAAGTTTGAAAAATGTATGGCCGCCAAATTTTGTATTATTTATTCTGCTGCGTCCAAAAATATTGAATCCTTCGGAAAAGTTTAAATGTATGAATATTGAGTCCGTCCAAAATATATAGCAATCTTCCGAAAAAAACTGCAACATTTTTTGAATTCACCTGGACCAACGAATATACGAAATTAATGCCAAATATAACAAAATTAATTCTGAAATTGATTAAACAAAATTCTCCAGTGAATAAATACATCTGAAACAAGATGAAACAAACATTTCCAGCATGCGCATGAAGCCTGCGGAGAAGGGTGTGCAGTATTTATTTATTTTCACTTTGAGGTATATATTATTATATTCTCCATTGTCAAAATTGTATCATTATTTTGGTACTGTATTAATTGCTGTTTTATTACATACAAAACAGCACTGTTCACATGCTCCGTCAGATATACTGGCCAGTTCAAACACTGCTGCTTTGTGCTGGGTCACTG